TTGGGAAAGGCAGGGAGGAGGAGGGCAGTATTAAAGAATTTGACTGTAAATATCTTTTGGCAATGCCTGATTAATATGGCTATTATTAAATATTATATAATATGTCAAGGATTTTTTATTATTGAAGAAAAAGTGCATCTTTAAATCATATTATAGTCCTCGGTTATTCATGAGAGGTATTTTGTAGAAACACATGCAGTACATCATTGACCATAAATTTATGTACTGCTTTAGCTAAATCACTTCCTGTTGTAGATACTCTTTAAAATCTGATAAACGAAACATATGTTTTAAAAAAATAGAACTGACATCATATATTTCTTTTTGCAGAACTTTTTTGCTTATATAGGTCAAAAACATTGATTCAGGTTTTTCCTAAAATCATATTTTTGCAATAAAGAATTGGGGTCAATTGTGGCAGGGGAGGGGGGGCAGGGAGATGAGAACTAATAAATTGAGCCTGAGGACTAGTTGTAATTCATGGGACTAAAAATAATGGGAACAAAATTTGTATTAAAAATTTCAACATACAGAAAATTGAAAGAATGATGTAGTAATCTCCCACATTACCAATTTACCTACTCAGTCATTAATAACAACATGCCATTATTGTTTTCCTTTATATTGGAGTGCGCCTACATATACATGTTTGCTGAATTATTTGAAAGTCAATTGCAGACATCATGACCTTCTGCTTTTATTGAGAAATATTAGTGCTTATGAATGAGATGCAGCAGCCTCTGCATTGTCCGACTGTGAGTATCCTAATGATTTTGTGGCTAGCTCTAATTGACTAAAAAGACTTTATGGTGAAGGTCAGGTAGTGTAATCCTGTCTCTCAGCCGTGGTTGACTTTTCCATCCATTTATCATCTGTCTCAGCCCCTTCTGGCTGCTGTAACGAGATGTCATGAGCTGGGTGGCTCATGAACAGCATCTCTCAGTTCTGGAGGCTGGAGTCCAGGATCAAGGCTCTGGCAGTTTTGGTGTCCAGTGAGGGTCCACTTCGTACTTGGCCGTCTTTTTGCTGCAGTGTTTCTCATGTGGTGGAAGGGGAAGCGGGAGCTGTCTGAGTCTCTTTTTCACAAAGGCATTAACCTCACTCATGAAGTCTCTGCTCTTATGACCTATCCACCTCCCAAAGACCCCATCTTTGTGGAACATAAAATCTGAGTTCTGATTAATGAAATACTTATTTATTAATGGTAACCAGAATTGACCCTATACTATGTTTAAAGAATGTTTCCTATCTTTATAGAATTGCAAGGTACTTGGGGGTTCAGTTTTATTTAGAAGAACCTGGCTCTGATTTGTAGGGTGGGTGGAGTGGGATTGCAGTTTTGCTGCTAGCTTGCAGAAGAATGTTTAATGCATAAGGTTGGGAGTGAGACATGGAGAAGGCAGAACAGGGTTTGTTGGTGGATGTTTATGTGCCCAGGATTCACTGGTTGTGCCTCCAGAGAAGAGTTCTTGAGAATTTCTGGTCAACCTCCATCGCCCGGTATGAAGCAGAATGGAGAGTGCAGGAAGCCAGTGTGGATGGCACCTGGAGAGCCTGGGTTTATAGCAGGGACTGACCAGTGCTGTGAGGGGCAGAGGGCCACTTTCATCAGGCTGTTTTGTGAAATTGCCAGGAAACCTGCCTACGAACCAGCCCTAGTGGTGCAGCTTTGTCTATGTTGATAGTTAGAATGAGCCATTAAGGAAAAAGAGCATATTATGAAGCAGGTCATACAACGGTGAGTTTTCATCAGCCGGTGTCAGTAAAATTGAACGTGCCTCCCAGTGCACCAGGCCCGAGCACTTGTCTCATGCATCCAACCTGGGCTGGTGATCTGTTTCACCATAGACAATATTGTAAAGGAATTAGCCTCCAACTAATAAAAATAAATGAAAAAAAAAAGTGGTAAAGAGAAAAGGAAGAGTTTACATATAGAAGTACAGTTCTCAATTATGACATCATTGATTGGGAGGTTAGGATTGACATATATATACTACAATGTGTAAAATAGATAGCTAGTAGGAATCAGAAATAAACACAGGGAACTCAAAAAAAAGAACGTGCCTTCCTCACTGGATGACAGAAAGCACATGGATCTGAATCCACTGCAGTAAGACTTCCTCGGTGTCCTTTTCTTCAACACCAGTAGACCAAGGCAGGTCAGATGCTTGAGGAAGTGAACTGAATATTTTTCTGTTGAGTAGTTTAGGTTGCTTCTCACAGGCTAGACTGCCCATGATAGGGCAGTAGTGACAAATGATCCCAGAGACATGTCACCTCAATGTTGTGATAACAGGTGGCACCAGTGGTCCAGGATTTGCTTTCAGGAAAGCTTTTTATTTCTCACATAAGTGAGATACTAAAGGACCCAGGAGGTGCACGCTACCCTGGGTTTGTATTGCCCTTTGCTCTGCATTTCTGCATTGTTTCACCAGCTCCATGTGTGTGTGTGTGGTGGGGGGGGGGCAATGGGGGGGTGTAAGTCACTTTGGTCTTGTCCAACTCTTTGTGACCCTGTGGACTGTAGCCCATCAGGTTCCTGTGTCCATGGGATTCTCCAGGCAAGAATACTAGGGTGGATTGCTATGCCCTCCTCCAGGGATCTTCCTGACCCAGGGATCAATCCTGTATCTCTTATGTCTGCTGCATTGGCACGCGGGTTCTTTGCCACCAGTGCTCCCTCGGATGTCCAATTATGAGAATAATGATGGATATTTAGGAGGGTTGATGTCAGAAGCTCACAGATACATGGAAGGGGGAATGTTGCCTTTGTTTGGGAAAGACTCCCAGGTGAAGAGAAGTTGGGAGGGTTTCTGTTCACAGTCCGAACTGAGGTGCTCTGAGGGCTGACCTGAGGCCACTCAGGCCTCCAATGGACAAGGTTATGAGTGAGTCCTGATGAATGGGCCCACTCTGGGTGTCTAGCAGAGTTGAACTGCGGGCCAGCCATTGGCTGGCCTGTGGGAAGCTGGCCACTGTTCTCCTCCTCAGTGCTCCTGCGGCTGAGGATCGCTCTCTACAGATGTTAGCTGGATGCTTGTGTGGGGTGACTGGAGAGTTTCAGCTGAGCCCAAGCAGAACCTTTGAAAGTGAAAGTCGCTCAGGTGTGTCCGACTCTTTGTGACCGCATGGATTATACAGTCTGTGGAATTCTCCAAGCCAGAATACTGGAGTGGGTATCCTTTCCCTTCTCCAGATCTTCCCAACCCAGGGATTGAACTCAGGTTTCCTGCATTGCAGGTGGATTTTCACCTGCTGAGCCACACTGGAAGCCCAAGCAGAACCTTCAGTGATAGGCCAAATCTGTCCTAGAGGAAGGCTCTGGCTGTGATGCTCACTGCTGCCCCCAGTGGTCATGTGCTGGCATGGAAGGGCCAAGCATCAGGGGAGAATGGGGATACAGTAGCCCCCGCCCCATCTGAGGTTTCGGTTTCTACAGTTTTATTTACTCATGGTCAACTACAGGTGGAAAATATTAAATGGAAACTTCCAGAAATAAACAATCCCCGAGTTTTAAATTGCACACCATTCTGAATAGTGTGATGAAATCTCCCACCATCCCACCCAGGGCGTGAATTAACCCTTTGTCCTGCACAGCCTGCTCCTCAGTCCCTTAGTAGCCATTCTGGTTATCAGATCTACTGTCAAGGTATCACAGTTTGTGTTCAGGTCACCCTCATTTTACTCAGTAACAGCCCCAAAGCATGAGAGTACTGATGTTGACAGTTTGGATGTGCCGAAGAGAAGCTGCATGACATGTGCTTTAAGTTAAATGGTGAAAATTCTTGACTTAATAAGGAGAGAAAAAACTGGATGCTGAGGTTGCTAGGAGATCCATGGTAGGCATGAATCTTCTCTCTGAAATTGTGACCCAAAAAAATTGTACTAGTTTTGCTGTTAATCTCACACTGCAGAAGTTATGGCCACAGTGTGTGGTAAGTGCTGAGGGAAAAGGCATTGAGTGCATGTTAAGTCAGTTGGTCGTGTCCGACTCTGTACAAACCTATGGACTGTAGCCTGCCAGGTTCCTCTGTCCGTGGGATTTCCCAGGCAGGAATACTTGAGTGGGTTGCCATGCCCTCCTCCTGGGGATCTTCCCAACCCAGGGATCAAACCCTTGTCTCTTATATCTCCTATATTGGCAGGCGGATTTGCTACCACTGGGAAAATGGAAAAGGCATTGCATTTGTACAGTAAGATATTTTGAAAGAGAAAGACTGATTTTATGAACTTTTATCCTATGGTTATATTTGTTCTATTTAATTATTGTTGATCTCTTACTGTGCCTAATTTATAAATTTTGTCATAGATATGTAAGTATAGAAAAAAAAATAGTATATAAAGGATTTGGCGCTATTTTCAGTTTCAGGCATCCAGGTGGGGGTCTTGGAACGTATTCCACATGGATAAAGCGGGGACTGCTGTCAGTTGTGATTGTCCTCAGATGCCGTTGCATAGAGGACTGGTGGATGGATCTTGGTTTTGAGCTATATACTGTGAAATAACACACTGTTTTATAGAAAGCCTAGCCGTAGAAGTCCTGGGAGGATAAAATATTAACAGTGAAATGACATGAATTTTAGAGTGTATAGTGTTGAAAACGATTCGAAAGTTTTTAATTTAATTATGCTTGTCAAATACAGTCTGATTTATTTTGATAGCTAAAGTGTAACATACTAAGGAAGAGACTATAAAAATAATGTATAAGATTGTCATTTAGTCATAACTTTGAGTTGGAGTAATATTAGGATGCATATCTTTTTGACATATACCTTTATTCTATATTGCCCAACACAAATGGCTTTAGAACCAGATTTCTTGATTTTGAATTCTTGCTTTGCCACTTACTACTGGGCTGATTTTAGTTAGTCTGTTTGGCTTCAGTTTCTTCCCATTCCTTTTCCTATCATTGCTGTTTTCTGTATAGCAGGTAAGTGCAGTATGCCTAAATATTTCTTACAGTGTTGAGATGTAAGTAACTTTTATTTTGTCTTTAACAGGGACCTCCGAAACAATCTTATTAGTAGTATAGACCCAGGTGCCTTTTGGGGACTGTCATCGTTAAAAAGATTGTAAGTGTTTGAATTGCTGGCTTATGAATTTGAACCATTCCTTTTTAAGTAACTGTTAACCTACTTCAAACTTTAACATGATAAAAAAGTGGCTTTTTAATAATTTTTAGAAGTCCATCTAAGATAGAAAAGCAGACTATTTAAGTAGCTCAGAAGGCAGTTTATTTATACAGCAGTTTGATTTGTTGGTGGTAGATGGTTACATCCCTCTTATGGTAATAAAATCATTATGGTTGGCTTTGCCAGCGGGCATACTCTGTAGATGACTTTCAACTTATGAATGCATTTAAACAATCTATTGTAAATGCCCTAAAAATTGAGGCCTCTTTCTATTAGTGATTTAAAAATCTTGCCAATTTCCTATATATTTTATCTGTATGTTATTTCAAAACCTGTTTTGAAATATGTTATTTCAAGACCAGTTTTTATTACTTCCGAGATGAAGCACTCTTGCTTTCCTTATCGTATTCTGGTCACAACTACTTTGTGAGAGTGCTCATATTTTAGAGGTCACCCGGTGCTTTAGCCATGTGGACTGCGCCACTACCCTTGATTCTTTCTGAATGCATTTATTGAGTGCTGACTGCTTACTATGCTTGGACTTCCCCGGAAAAACTCACAGACTCTTAGGGGCAGATCGATAGTGAAAATGCATCCTAAATAATAATAATATATTACTAATCTACCAGGGAGAGGAGGGACCATCTGAGATAGGAGTGACCTGCCATGAGAGCAGCCAGCCTTTCGACTTGACCTTGCTCCTGAGGGGTGGATGTGTGTTGAAGAATAACAGAAAGAGCACTGTAAGCCGAGTGGACACGTGTGAAAGAACAAATGCTTTGACCAAAGCATTAAGTAGAAAGGGGAAGAGAACATTGGAATGTAAGGTTAGTCAGGAAGAGACCAGGCTTTTGATGACCTCCTGCCATGTTGAAGAATTTCGAATCTTTTAGACAGTGGGGGACTGGCAAAACTTTTTCAGTATGGAGTTGACGTGATCAGATTAGTGACATCAGAGCTGCAGTGGCTCAAGCTGGGTTTAGACTTCAGTGAAAGTGTTATCAACGTATAGAGATGTCATTGAAGTGGAAAGACAGATCAGCATCAATTCAGTTAAACAAACATTTATCAAGTCCATCCTCTGTGCCCAGTAGTGAGCCAGCCTCCAGAGATACAAAGGGAACTAACTCAGGAACCCCTTGGAAGGTTTGCAGTCTAGTGGAATCATGTATACCAACCAAGATCTTGGATATGTGTTTGGAATATACTCCCAGAGAGATGGGCCAATAGCTGGTGTTCAGCTGTTACGGGTCTTTGAAGCTGTGGGGACTTGCCAGACTGACATAAGCAGGAGTGTGGACCAGGGCCATCAGCAGGCTACATGCATCTCCAGAAACAGTCCTTAGAGAGTGGAGGGGCAGCAGCTCGCTGAGCTTGATTTGTAACAGTGAGTCATTTTCTCTGTGCTTCTTACTAGGACAAACTGATGCCTTGTTTGGATGGAATGTGAGTCCTCACATAGGGAGAAGGAGTCGGAGTCTAGCTGCTAGAGCTGCCCTATCAAACTCTGGGGCTGAGGCCAAAGCATTTTTGTTTCAACTGTCCCTCCTGGTGATTATGATGCTAAAGCTGGAGAATTACTAGAACTAGTTTTTGCAAGGGGAGGGAGGAGTGTGGTGTCATGGCCAGACAAGTCCACTTATTCTCTCCTTCTGTGATCCACGTGACTGTCCATGTTCTGTTTTCTGGTAATTGGGAGCTTAATATGATAATATCTGCACATTGAGGGAGGGATTGAAGGAAACTTGACTCTTAATAAAAAGCAGCTTCATCAGGATCTTCCAAGGATACTGCAAAATATCCTATGTTCTCCATCAGTTCTTTATCCTTCAGTAAATAATTTTTCACATATTGCGATCCAAAATAAAATTAAAATTTTCTTGTTCAGTAGCACTTAATTTAATTACCCTGATTGTCCCAGATGTTGCCTTGGCATTTTTTCATTGCATTACACATTAAGTAGTCTTTGGTGTTCATGCCTAGGAAGGTAATTGTCATTTATAATCTTCCCACTAGAAAATTCGTTCTTAATTCCAAACAGCTAAGTTGGCATACAGCTTGCACGCTGAGAGAGTTCTATATGAAAACTCAATGAGATAGAAAGGTATTCTGCTAGTCACTTCTTAACTACAGGCACTTTTTCCTATGAGGCCTTAAATCATTCAGTTGTGCATCTCACTCAGCAACCACATATAAAGTGTTTTTGTAAGTGTCCCGTGCCTTTGCCTTTATTTTATAGATAATTTGGATCAGGAAGATTAAGTCAGTGGCTTTCTGAAGAATAAACTACCAGAAGTAGGTAAAACCTAGACCCATTCAGTTTCTCTTTTGCTTTATCAACAAAATTCAAGCTGATTCTCAATTCAAATGAAAACTCATTATCAGTACCTAAATTCCATTTTAAATAGGTATAGCTATAATGAAATTGTTTCCCAAAGAATCAATGGTAATTACACCATTTAAAGCTCAGAACTGAGACAAGATAATGAATAGAGCCCAGAAATGCTTGTTTAAGCAACACTTCACAAGATGATGCCTCATTTTCTTAAATAGTAAAGCCCAGAAATAGAAGGAAAATCAGCCAGAATAAAGAAAAGTCCCACACGATTAAATACTTAACTTTAATATTCTGAGGAGCTAGAGCATAATGAATGTAGATAAAAACTTGGATTGCTTAAGATTTTTTTTTAAATCAAAAGTTGCCCTAAGAAAGGGGAAACAGGGCTATGAAATTTTTGAATACTAGGGGTTACCTAAACTAGCTGTCAAAATACCTAAAGGAAAAAATTAATGAGTCGGTACTGAATTCAAATATGAAGTCTTTGTAATTTCTATCAGACTAATACCCCCCCCATTACCAAGTGTATAATTTAGAATCTGACAATTTTAGTTTAGAAACGGTATAAGTCTCTAAAGAGTAACTCAGTGAATATGTCCTGCTCTATTACAGAGAATAATATGGACAATGAAGAAAATATGATAAAAATATTTTTTAAAGTTTGGCTTAGAAAGCTTGTTTTACTTCTTTTACTGAAATTAAAAATGACCAATAATCCCAAATCTTAACAACTTATAAAAACAAAGATTCATTGTTTGAGGGCTTCCATACTAAATCCACTGATGGGAAATGATGAAAGCTATGCTCTCTTATTTGAAGAAATAGTCAATTATCTCCTAATTAAAATAAATCTAATTGAAGTGTAAAAGTGTGTTCACTGTGCTTTGGTATGAAGAAGTATAGTGTAGAAAGAAGAAAATACTAAAATTATTACAGAGAAAAGGAAAAAAGTTACATACATTGAGGAGGAGAAAAAAAATGATTTCAAAGTAGCATTTGATAGGAACTGTAAGAAGTTTAGGAGTGACTGAAAAAAAATGGGCCATTACCTAGATATTGTTATAAAGTAATTTGGCTTGGAGCCTAAATGACAGATCTGTAAAGTAAAAGCTAACTCAGTTGTTTTTTCATTACAGTCAAAACTTCTGAGTATTTAAGGAATGAAGTTAGCATTAAGTTTCACTTGTTCTTGAGGAAATAAAAGTTTTGGCATTGTGATAATGTACCCTTTTACCCATTGTCTCTTGGATGTTGCCTTATATCAGCCCTATTCCCTAACTTACCCAGAGTGATTAGCTGTGTATATCATCACAGGCAGTAAGATAGATTGAGTCTCATTTTTACTACTTCGGTTTTATCTTGAGTCATTTTACAGGAGTAAATGCTTTAAATATCGAGGGCACTGTAATTAAACAGCTTTTAGTTTGTATGTGCCAGAAGTAAGTGAAAGCAAGGATTATTTCTTCTCTCAGTGCTGCACTTGAGATAAGTGAATATTTTAGAGATGCTTAAAAGAAAAGTCTTGTGTGATACTTGGGTGCCATTCTTGAATATCAAATGTATGAAACCTTCATTAACCAAAAGAACTAATTGAAGATACTTTTTCCCTTTCTTCTTAGGGATCTGACAAACAACCGAATAGGGTGTCTGAATGCAGATATATTCCGAGGACTCACCAATTTGGTTAGGCTGTAAGTACTTCTGTCTTTCGTATTATAATACAAGGAAGCATTTGAACCAGTACCGAAATTTTTATGACCACTTACATGTTTAACATTAAAACAGCAACTGTAGAGGTTATAGAACTGGTAGGGGGATAGTTCAGTTCAGTCGCTCAGTCGTGTCCTACTCTTTGCGACCCCATGGACTGCAGCATGCCAGGCTTCCCTGTCCATTACCAGCTCCCAAAGCTTGCTCAGACTCATGTCCATCGAGTTGGTGATGCCATCCAGCCATCTCATCTCTGTCATCCTATTCTCCTCCTGCCTTTAGCCTTTCCCCGGGAAAGATTGAAGGTAGGGGATAAGGAGCTGGATATTTAATCATGGAGATATAATGTCATCAGAATATAATAATGCATTACATCCACTGCTCCACACGTACGTGCACACACGCAATGTAGTATATACCCTAGAGAATAGGTCCATATTGAGACACATGATCAAAAGCTTTGATGGTTTGGGAAAATTCTTTGAAGAGGTGAATCTTGAGCTAATGGTCCAGATCTTTAGAAAGGAAAAGAAGGCATGCAAATGATACAGGGAGGTAGAAATCAGAGCGAGGACAGTTTGTCAAGGCGAAGGCAGATATTCTTATGCATAGATTGACCATTTAAGTCACTCCTCTGACTTTGTGGTTATAGGTGACCTGTTGAGCTTTTCTGTTTTTCATCTATACGATAGGATTAATAGTACCTCAAAGTTACTATAAGGATTAATTAGCATTTGAATTATCTATAATTTATTTGTTATAATTTGTATCTAACATAAATGGAGAACTTTGTGTATACCATCAAATATGTTTTAGTTTTATGTTAAGAATCTGAGAGTAACTAGAAATGAGGACAGTTACCTGTAATAGAGCTTTATACAAGAGTGTATGAAAGACAGACTGAAGCTTAGAACTGATTCAATCCTAGGAGGCCGCTGGTGATGTGGGGAAATGGCATGAATCATGATTTAGAGAAGAGCAATCTGGAAATAGAGTGCAGCATGCAAGGCAGGATTTTGAGGTAGAAGTTCTAGTTCTGAGATGGCCTGTGCTTGGTTCTTTCTCTTTGTAGCTTTTTAGGATGTTTCATCTGTTTGTTCAAGTTAACTTTGAAGAGGCCTTGTGGGCTCAAGTACTGAGATGATCTCCTCTCTGCAGTAAGCGAGGGGTCTCACTTGTCAGAACAGAACAAAGTACTCCTGCTTCTCAGCCAGCAAGTTGTATTTCTCAGAGTGCCCTTTAGCTCTGGGGGAAAGATAGATGGCCCAAGTATATGTTTTTAAATAAAAGATTGATTTGGTGTACAGCTTTACTCATTGCTAGAAATCAGTTAAATCTATTATGGTTTTCTTTTTTTGTAACTGAATTACAAACAGTTTTGTTTCAGTGCTTTTATTATCTCGAGATTTTTTTATTTTTAGTTTTGAGGAATATGTAAAAATTGGCAACCTGAGGCATTTATGGAGAAAAATTTGTTATGTTTTTGAGTAGTGATGAATCAAATAGTGAAAGAGGGAATCTGAAGTTTACCATTTTCTTGACTTTAGTTCCAGATGGATTTACAGCTTTGGTCTAGGGATTTTTGACCCAACAACAAAAGTTCTTAAGGCAAAAGTGTTGTTTTGGACATTACATTAAAGAAGGTTACTATACACTTACTTTTTTGTTTTTGCCTCCTGCCTTAAAATATAATGTTTTTGCAAATTTTAAAGCCTGAATTGTCTCTTACATTTTTACCAATTCTCTGATACCTGTTGTGAGAGTTTACAGGACGTAGAACATAATGGATATATATCCAGGTGAATCATTAAAATGTAGAAATAATACTACCAAGTTTCCTGCTTTGTGGTTGATTGAGATAATTTTGTAGTCCATGTAATAGCAGATGATAGCCCTCTTAAATGCAACAGTATGGTACATATAGAACCATACCTGACATATCCTTTAAATACTGTTCTAAGAAAAATTAAGGCTTCCCGCCTGGCTCATTGGGTAAAGATCTCCTGCAATTCAGGAGACCCAGGAGACATGGGTTCAATCCCTGAGTCGGGAAGATCCCCTGAAGAAGAAAATGGCAACCCACTCCGGTATCCTTGCCTGGAAATGTCCGTGGACAGAGGAGCCTGGTGGGCTACAGTCCATGGGTTGCAAAGAGTCGGACACGACTGAGCGACTGAACTGAAGAAAAATTAGCAGTACTAAACATAAACACATAAGAAAAATTAGCAGTTGTGGCAGCTTCTTAACATCCAGGAGTGCACTGCAGTGGAGTTGCTCGTGATCATTTGGGGGGACATAGTTCTCGAGCATTGGATCAGGAACCTTTGGATGGGTGTTCTGTGTCCACACAGCTGTCTGGGCGCGCTCAGCCAGGTTGTGTGTTGCCTGTAAAGGCTGATAGCATTTGGTATTTCAGATATGGAGAATAACATCTTCATTCTAGCAAGTGGAAAAGAGAGTCTGATTAGTTAAGGGACGGGTAGTACATTTTTAGGTTAGGAGTCACAGAAGCCCTGTTGCTACCGTTTCCCGCCCTGCAGAGTAAACGTGCAAGAGAAGTCGGTCTAGAGCAGATGACTGTTCTAGCTCTTTCCTCTGCTGCCTCTTCAGCTCAATTCTGTGGGTTACCCTGGAACTTCGGACCCTCAGACTGACTTGGCCTCTTAGCCAGGGAGCCTGGAAACCTTGGCAGAAGGCCTGTAGCGTTCCCGCCCAGACCTCTCATTGTACTGAAACAAGTCTGGGCTTTGGCGATTTAGTGTAAAAATTGAAAAATGACTTTGTAAAAATACGTCATAGTGTTCAGTGGACTTGGGTGTGGTAGGTAAATTGACTGAATCTGTGTATTGATATCTGCCTTTATTGATGGAGAAGTTCTGGGAAGTGAAGCCATCCTCCCAGAGGTTCCCACTGTAACCCTGGGAATAACTGACAGAAAAAAGATGGAACTAATAATGGACTTCGGTGAAGTCTCTGTCCTTCACTTAGGAAGTTAGCTTAGAAAGAGTAGCTGTTAGGAGATAAAAAAAAAATCAAAACTTTCCTTTTAACTTTCCTTATGAATTTTGATCAATTTAAAACCTGTGTTTTCCCCCTAAGAATTATACCTTTAATATTTTTCTGTCAGTTGAGTGATATTTATAAGAACTTCCTTTCTATAATTTAAAAATTATTGATGTTGTTAAGTAATAAAACCATATAGAGAGGTATGCAGGAAAAGTTAAATTTCCCCTTCATCTCTTCAAACACACCTCTCTGAGATAGCATATACTGTCCAGTGTATATATTCTGATTTTTCTATTGCCATTGCAAATGTATAGGCATCCACACAGGGCTTTAAAAATGTGCTCTACTCTGGACTTGCCTGGTGACCCAGTGGTTAAGACTTCACCTTCCACTTCAGGGGGAATGGGTTTGATCCCTGGTTGGGAAGTTAAGATCCCACATGCCTTGTGACCAAAACCCAAAACATAAAATAGAAACAGTATTGTAACAAATTCTGTAAAGACTTTAAAAATGATCTACATCAAAAAAAATATTTAAGAAGTGTGTTCTACTTGACAATTTACTTTAAAAAAATTTACCAAGGTATGGGTATCTTTTTAGAAGAATGTTTTTAAGTAGAATACCATTACCTTTTCCGGGGAAAGTTTTTGTTCATGCTTCTGACCAGCTAACGGAGTACTCCGCAAGTCTAGGGCAGTATGCTGTGCCTAGTCGCTCAGTTGTGCCCGGCTCTTTGCGACCCGGTGGACTGCAGCCCTCCAGACTCCTCTGTCCATGGGGATTCTCTGAGGCAAGAATACTGGAGTGGGTTGCCTCGCCCTCCTCTGGGGGATCTTCCCAACTCAGATTGAACCCAGGTCTCCCACACTACAGGCGGATTCTTTACTGTCTGAGCCATGAGGTAAAGAACAGTCTGATTTAGTCAGTTATTCCTGGGTGAAAGGAGGTACTGTTTGATTCATCACCTCCTCCTTTAATAAGTCTGCCCTGGTAAACATGCCTGTATATACACAGATGCTGCATCATATCAATTTAACTCACAGGAATGCAAATATCTATTTAACAAGAAGTAAATGAAAATTAAGTGAGAGAGTAAGAAACAGCATGAGTGGGAGTGGGTGGGTAATTCACCTCTCACTCCATCTAGTGAGCTGTGTTAGGACACGAGATAGTGACTTTGCTGTGAGCATTGTCATTCTCAATTCCATGATGCTTTTTTTGGTGTAAGTATCTCAGAGTTGGAATGTGATTTTAATGTTTAAAAGTATGTGTGAATTTTTATGGTCATCAGCCAATTACTTCACTTGATGTCTAGCCAAACAGTAGTTTGTTCCAACACTGGAGGAAAAATTGGTTTGTGTTGGGATTTACTGGGAGGATGGCATGTCTTTCTCCAATGTGATTCCTTCCTCAGTGATTTCCAAGGAAAAACAAATTAATATACCTAATAATTACCATAAAGTTACCTAGCAATTAGAATCTAATGGTTCCTGTAAGATACAGTCATTTTGTTTATACTTAAATCCTATACTTGTAGTATATATTTTTATTTCCAACTACTACAGACTCTTTCAGACATTTAAAAAAAAATTACAGATAATTGTACAAGGAATCTCCGTGTACCCATCAGTCAGTTTCAGCACTTAGCAACTCATAGCCTATCTTGTTTTAGTTCCACATCACATTTATCTTCCCACCTACATTATTTACGGTAAATCCCAGTAATTTTATAATTTCACATAGGGTACCTTGATAAAAGTACAGTTGTTCATTTTAATTACGTCCAGGTTACTTTCTTAAAATGTTATGATTTGTACTCCGTCAGCCATAATACCCTTTTCAGAATCCATATTCAGTATTCACTTTGATAGGCTAAAAAAGAAAAAGGCATTGCTTTCATGATTCTTTTAATGTGCAAGTATTCTTTTTATTTTTTAAGTTCCTTGGCAATTCTTTTATGAAGGTCAAAATTATTTTGCCCAGCCTCTTTTCTATTAAAAAAAAAATCCTAAGATATATGTAAAATGAATTCAGTAGTGGTTTTACTGAAGTCCATTATATACTATTTTTGAGGGATTGGTGTTTGTGCGGTGTTTAGTCTTCCCATACAGAAATATGTCGTTGCAGGTGTCATGGAAATAGCTGACCTCTTCTCCCTTCAAGATTCCCTCTCCCCACTGGGGAATCCTTCCACCCAGTTGTCACTTTCTTCCACACTTAAAGGATTTAACTCAGCCTCTGGAGGAGAGGCAGGCCTCCTTGCAGGTCTCAGGACTTCTTCCTTGAGAATTCTAGGTCCAGACTATAACATTCTTGATACTATAGCAGGCACTGAACAGATCTTGTGGTGGCTGGGTCATGTTGCTGTTTTCCTGGGGCCCGTGGTAGCACCTTCCTAAAGCTGGGGTCCGTATTCTGAACAGCCAGCCACTGCAATTGAGCTCTTTCTGTATACCCTGGCTTGCTACTGGCTGCCAGAGGTACCCAAGTAAGTAAGACACACAAGTCCTTTCTGTCCTGGAGCTTATGAAAGTTGAGCATGGAAGAAATCACAAAAAATGATTTGTTCAAACTACTCATATAGCAGCATAAGGTGTTCTATAATTTATAGCAAACTCTGCAAGCCTTTATGTACTTATTAAAGCCACGATACATGGGGAAACCGGAGAGGTTAAGTAATCTGCCCAAGGGCAACACTGAATTCTATCCCAAGTCTTTGATTAAACCCTGGACCCATTTCACTCTTCCGATATTTTTAGTGGCTGGCTGTCAGCTGCTGCTGGTTGTTCGTACCATCCTTTTCTTTGTTTTTTAATTTTTGTTTCCTTAAATAAAACTGAGTGAACTCCTGAAGAGCAGTTCTAGTTGCAATGAGAGCATGATTAAAAATCAGGTTCAGGAAGGTAACTTGGAGGTTCTGCATGTTATTTAACAGAAAAATCCTTATCCAGCAGTAATTTTAAGTAATGTTATGTATTGCTTTATATAAGGTTAATTTTCTTCTTCAACTTTGAAGAAAATATTTATTAGATATTTCTTTCTATGAGATTTAAAACAACTTTCGTAACTTCTTAATAACAGTATTTAATGATAGGAAGTTTTAGGAAATATAAAGTGATATATAATTGTTTGCCTTTCTCACAGTGATTTCCTTTTTTCCAGAAACCTTTCAGGGAACTTGTTTTCTTCATTATCTCAAGGAACTTTTGATTATCTTGGCTCATTACGATCTTTGTAAGTAAGAATTTTTTCTTCCTGTTTTTGTAAATGTATCTTAGTGTCTGAAAATTAAAAACAGTTATTATATGGCTTAAGAGACTTTATGGGAAAATCTTGTGATTTTGCAGTAATTAGAATATCACTTGAGAGTTTGCATTCACATTGAAAAACATACCATACACCTTAATAATGTGTGTCAGGAAAAAAATAATAATAATGTGTGTCAGGCTAGAGCAACCATTTTCTTCTTAGAATACTCTTATCTTTCTAATTTATATTTAAACAGGTTGGTAATTTTTTTCTTTGTGTTTCCAAATTAGAAAATATTTTGTTTACCTAATTAAATCCCCAAAGTATAAAATAAGCCTCCCTTCTTATGAAGAGTTTATAGTTAAGACTTATGTTGTGCTTTGGGAGCTTTCCTGGTGGCTTACGTGGTAAAGAGTCTGCCTGCAATGCAGGCGACTTGGGTTTGATCCCTGGGTCAGGAAGATCTCCTGGAGAAGGAAATGGCAATCTGCTCCAGTATTCTTGCTGGAGAATCCCATGGACAGAAGAGCCTGGAGAGCCTCAGTCCATGGGGTCACAAGGAGTCAGACACCACTGAGCAACTAACAATTCACTTCATGTTATGCTTTAGAGATTAATTTTATCCTGTGACTCCATCCCCAAACTGAATTCACAACTTATTACTGATATTTTTGGTCATGCTACATAGAATGCTTGCTTTATGAAGTCAGTGTATGGTCATACTTACACAGTTCTCTGTGGCTTTAAAATTGGCTGAGTTTTTTTTTTTTACACCCAAAACCAGTTTTGTTAAATGAGAGATAAGATTGTCTAGGAGTTACTTTTGAAGCTTACTGTATTTTCAGATAGGCCTTAATATGTCTCAAAGCATAACTTTTATTGATTCCTATTGGAATTACGTTAAATACAATGGTTTTTCAAATTTTTATTGCATATGACATACAGACTTGAGTCTCTTTTTCCAGTGAAAGATGTCTTCTCTGCCAGATGCCTGTTTGATGTATGCTCACTTCTTATCTTTCTTCCCTTCCCCGCCCCTTTCTTTTTCCTTTCCCTGCCTTCCTCTTCATCTTTAGTTTTGTAAATTTATCATTTCAGTCTCATTTAGCATCTTTCATTGGAATAAAGCCAATAGGTTAGGTGCTCAAGGGGCTCCTCACCATCATGGCAGACATATGTATGTACTTCTAGAATCCCTGCATCAAACTTTTTTTTTTCCTGTTTTTAAATTTAAATTTAATTTTTATTTTTAATACCCAGAGTATTTTTTTTTATTGAGGTATACCTGATTAGCAATGTTGTGATAGCCTCAGGTGAACAGTGAAGGGACTTAGCCATACGTATACACGTGTCCGTTCTCCCCAAACTCACCTCCCATCCAGGCTGGCGCATGACATTGAGCAGAGTTCCATATGCTCTACAATAGGTCTTTGTTGGTTATCCATTTAAAATATAGCAGTATGTACATAACCTTCCCAAAGTCCTTAACTATTCCTTCCTCCCAGCAACCATGAGTTCTGTTTTCTAAGTCTATAAGTCTCTTTGTGTTTTGAAAGTAAGTTCATTTGTATCATTTCTTTTTAGATTTCACAGTAAGGGATGTCATGCGATATTTCTCTTTCTCTGAGATAGTATTTGACAGATAATATTTTCACATGCTTAAAAACTTGCGATCATTTTTCAGATCAAAGTAAAAGCCACTAACTTGGCACAGTGAACAAGGCTTTGGATCATCTCGTTGCCTGATCTCAAGTCCAGTCAAGTCCCCCTCTTCCATAGTAATCCTCCAAGATGCCAGGCAGACATGCTGCTTCTGCCTTAGGGCCTTTGCAGTTATGGGGCCCTTTGCCTGGAAAACTCTTCCACCCAGTATCACCCATGGCTCTGGGACTTCCCTGGTGGTCCAGTGGCTAAGAGTCTGTGTTCCCATTGCATGGGGCCTGGATTCAGTCCCTAGTCAGAGAATTAGCTCCCACATGCCACAGCTAAGAGTTGTGGCTCCTGCACCCTGCATCAAACTCTTATCTGGCCTTTTTGGTACTACTAACGCTCTTACCCAGAAAACTGCTTTTTAGTGAAAACATCTCCTTTTAGTGGGCTTATGTCAGCCATTTCTGTGAAGTTTAGAAATAAAGACTGCAAAAATGATCTGACTTTTGAAACCCTAGATAGCAGGAATGTAGGAAGTATTTTCATGCAAAAGTTGAGCAAAATTGTCAGTGTTTATAAAAGATAAACTCACCAGAAGGTGGTTCTTAGGAATTAGAAGTTAGTCATCGTAGTCAGACAAACAGAATGTGACCATGCGAAGCAGTCATATGTTGTTTTATGCTGTCAGAATTAGCAGAGTTTGCAGGCATTTAAGCCAAAAACATGGCGGTGATGCTGGAAGAAATGGGGAAAGCTTCAGTTTCCAGTAATAGTGCCACAAACTTGATGACAAATCCATAGAAGTTTGATAGACAAAAGGAATGTGGATGTGATATTCCAGTACCCTGGGCTTCAGAAATGTGTTTCATAGACGAAGAATCGACTTTGTTCACATACCATCTTTGATTGAAAGCAGAGTCGGTCCAGGATCAGGTGGGAAGGGATCTTGGGGTCAGACATTCGACATCATCTCACTGGGAAGGAAACCACAGCCAGTTGATGGTACAGTATGTGCTCTAGGAGAGATTGAGCAGCTGTGTGCTTCCACACAAAGACTGAGCCAATGTAAAGCAAAAGTGCAATTTAATTCACTTACCATCCTGTCTAAATTGCATTTTGTGTGCTGCAGAGAATTTCAGACTGAGTATCTGCTGTGTGATTGTAACATACTGTGGATGCACCGCTGGGTAAAGGAGAGAAACGTCACGGTGCGGGACACGCGGTGTGTTTATCCCAAGTCTCTTCAGGCCCAGCCGGTCACAGGTGTGAAGCAGGAGTTGTTGACATGCGGTAAGGAAGAAAAACCGAGAAAGGGTCAGCTGTGTTTTACTTGCTGCCATGTGCTTCCTGACAAACTTCAGAATTCTTCTTATACATTGGAACTGATTGTAGCCATCAGTCTTCATGAATTTGATAATATTTAGTTTTTGTCAACAGTTAAGTCAGTTGGATTAAAAAATGTTTTTTTCAATTGGCATTTAAAGTTCTTAGGTTCTGAACAGCTTTCTTAATGAAATTCAATTTCAGTAAATAGTATAGATCTTCATACTTTCTAATAGCAAATCAGTAATTTGTTGATAGTACTAGAATCTCAGGATGCAATCATGCATTTTATTGATAGGGTATGAATTGATAACAGCCTTTTTGAAGGGTGGCTTGGCAGTATATATCACTATTCTTAAGGAATCGATACAACTTGATATAGCTAATTTTGCATGTAGGGCTTAATTCTTCAGAAATCATCAGCTTCTGTGTAAATCTTCAGATTTTGTATATGAACATATCTTAAATTCTGAAAAATATAGGGCATTGGTTTACTTATGACAGTCCATTCAATGAAATAGCGTAAAGCTGTTAAATCATGATTTTCAAGAATATCTAAAGACTTGAGGGAAATAATACATTTACCATGTGTTTAATGAAAAACAAAACCCAGAGAAAACAAGAAACAGTCCTTAAAATGATAGAGGGAGGTTCTAGTTTTGTCTCTGTGCTTGGAAATAAACAACCCTATCAGTTTTTTCCTTTTATTGTCATCATTATTGTTGTTTCACATGTGAAGTGTGCTCATGGAATTAAAGTTTTATGAAAAGAAATAATGTATACACATATGAAATCACCTTGGTGTATACTTTAAATATCTTATAATTTTGTCAATTATACCTCCATAAAGCTGGGAGGAAAAAATGAAAAAGCTAAAAGAAAAAAAAAACAACATACTTACATTCTTATCAGTCATAGGTAGCTAACATCAAAGATACCTTGGTATACATATCAATTTTCTACCTTTTTATTATGTTTTATCCAAAATACCATACTCTGTTATTTTGTATTGTTTTTAAACTTGAAATAATGTAAACTTAATTCCTCATCTTATTGATATGAAAGATGCATACCAATTCATTTATTTATATATATATGTGTGTGTGTGTAGCCATAACTTTTATTTTTTCATTATAGGGATATAGCCACAATAATTTCCTTATTACTGCATATATAGGTTGTTAATTTCTCACTCCATAAACATGAACAAGATGAATTTCCTTACATACATCTTTACATATTAGCTATTTAGGATAGCTTGCTACTAAAAGTAGAATTATTGTGTTAGACAGAGACTGAATATTTTAAAGGTTTTTGGTGAGCCAAGATATTTGTGTACGTTTTTGCATATGTACTTTAAGATTTCTCTTTTATTTTTCTTATTGGAAAGAAATATATCAGCTTTGTAAAAGTGACATGAAATGGTTTAATTTTCATTTTATTTAATGGTGTTTTCATCTTGGATCCTCTTAATTCAGCAACATCTTTGTTGATGGTAAAACCAGAATGCTGGTTATTGAGGAATGTGTTCTTCCGTTTTTAAGATTTCAATTAGAACTTCTATAAGTTCTGTAGTGTGAATATAGGATTTGTTTACTGAGTCTTTTACTCCACTGTCTCCAGATCCTCCCCTTGAATTACCATCTTTCTACATGACTCCGTCTCATCGTCAAGTTGTATTTGAAGGAGACAGCCTTCCTTTCCAGTGCATGGCGTCATATATCGATCAAGACATGCAAGTGTTATGGTATCAGGATGGGCGAATAGTCGAAACTGATGAATCGCAAGGTATCTTTGTTGAAAAGAACATGATTCACAACTGCTCATTGATTGCAAGGTAAGCTTTTTTAGATGAGGAATTGTCTCTGTAGATTTTGTTTATCATCTCAGGAATTGTAATGTTTAGTTGAAATTTAATATTTTACCTTTTTGCATTTAAAAAGCAAATGTCTGACATTTCTTTTTCTGATTGTTATTTATTTTCAAAAGTTAAATAGCCATCTTCTCCATCTAGTTTTGGAGGAGAAAAAAGCATAAGGTAGAAGGGAAACACTTTATAAGTTGGAGATATTTTGTTTAAAGTTTTAAGAGGAAAAAATGTAAACTTTTTTTTTTTAACCAAGCTTAATTTCCAATGATTTCCTGCTGCTATTAATAAGCTCGGAATTTCACTTTTAGGAATCACCTAATTTTTACTGTCTTATGACTAATGTTGTATTTTAAGATACTGCCTTTTTTCATCCTGTTAGTATAAAACAGTATACCACCTGTTAACCTCATGTTTGGTGCAAGCTCCACAGTAGTTAGTTCGAATGAAGTTAAAAGTACAAAAAACAGGATAAAAATAAAAATGTTATCACTCATTGTATTTTATTTTGGTGATATGTTAATCTGCAGGCATTGAATTTTCTCTTTCCTTCTTTCTGCCTCTGTCTCTGAGTATCTCTCCAAGCCTTTTCTGTGTTTTTTTCTTTCCTTTTTATCAATTTGATGAAGTTAGACCTCAACTTGAATATTTAAGTATAGAGCTATAATTTCTCAACTTTCTACTGAGGCACTTTATGTAATATTACAAAAGTACCATGAAAAAACAACCAAAAAACTAATAGTTCTCTGAGTTTAGACTCAGGTCTAGGAATTTTGAGGTTTGAATATTGTATTTCATAATTTCTCTTTCTCTTCTGAGATTTCCTTAGAAGCAGATTTTGATTTATGTCTTTGAACTTTTATAGTAGAAACCCTTAAATCCTTGCCTCTTATTTTAGTATCTGGGTCACATGGGGGTCATCACCCTGCTTATTTTTTATGAATATGGTTTATATTTTCTACTTTAAAAAGTATTATTTCTATGTCTGGTAATGTGGGATTGTATCCTAGATATTGTGAATGATTTGCTGTGGAGAAGCTGACAAACTACACCTTATGGGACAAATCTAGCCTGTGAATTTTTTTTTTATAGTTTTAAATAGTTACCTTTCAAATGGTTACACAGATACCTTCAGTATTACTTCTTGGTCAGCAAAACCTGAAGTATTTACTTTGTGGCCTTCAAAGAAAATGTTTGCTGAACCCTGACTCTGGATTCTTTTGTATTCTTCTCAAAGACAGCTGATTTTGTTTCATTGAGCAATTAACTTTCGGTTAAGCTAAAACTCCTAGATCTGGCTTTTGTATGGTAGGCAGCCACTGAAATCTGCGTGGTGTTTGCCCTGTCTGCATGTAGGTCAGGGATCAGTTAAAAACTGGGTAAATTGTACATGTACAAGTTTGGGCTTTTAGCCAGGCTCCTTTCACCTCAGTCCTTTGATTTTTCAACCACTCAGATTTTGAGTTTCTATTTGAATAATGCCTGCCCTTGGGCAAAAGTCATTAAAAAAAATTTCCTGGTTACTCCCCAGTGCCAATCTCCTCTTCCTAAAGTCAGTTCCTCTTTGGCTTCTACTGGTTTTGGATCACTTACCATGTGTTCAGATAGTTGCCGTACTGTAGTTTGTCTGCAGCTTACAGCTGTTAATTGTAGGGAGTGTGGTTTGATAGGAACCAAGAAAGGACTGGCAGTCCACTCCAGTGTTCTTGCCTGGAGAATTCCGCAGACAGAGGAGCCTGGAAAGCTGCAGTCCATGGGGTCGCAAAGAGTCGGACATGACTGAGCGACTTCACTTTCACTTTCACAACAGTAAAGCTTTAAAAATGTAATAGAACTCTTGTCTGAATAAAAGCTTTAATTTATTTTTTAAAACTTTACTGCAGTTAATTTATAGTGCTGTGTTAATTTCTGCTATAGAGCAAGGTGCCTCAGTTATATATATATATATGAATATACTTTTTCAGATTCTTTTCCATTATGGTTCATCACAGGATATTGAATATAGTTCCAAGAGCTTCAAGCTTGGCTTCTTAAATTTTGTAACAAGTAACTGGATTTACTTTATAAATTCATTTCTGTAAGTCATGTTTAACTTAATCTAAATTCCTTTAGCATTAAAAAAGAATTAATTCAAAGGATAGTAACTTCGCATAACATTTTTTTGTTGGTAGTAATACTTACCAAAGTGAAAATCTTTCACATGAAGACTGGGAAGTCCTTTACCCGGAGTTAGCTATGATAGAAAGTTGGAGGAGAAGGAAATATGTGGTTATTGGATTGGTTAACTTCATAGACCTCTTGATTCTTCATTGGTCTTTGCATGTCGTTGGGCCTTCATTAGTTAGAATTGGAGTTTGTATTTGTACTGCACGCTGAAACTGAAGCTACCCCCTTGTCCTTAAATCTCCTAACGTGTTGTGTTGAGGATTCTTGAAAAGTTTATTCTGCTAATTGGTTTTAGACATTGAAGGTATTGCTGGAAGTTATCTTTAAATAATGTTAGGACCATTTCCCCGGAGGGTGTGCTGACATGCTCTGGGATACTGCGGTGAGTGTACAGAGGTGCTGCGGGGTATTTTGAGTGTTTGAGCATAGTGATAACTGGACATTTGTGGACATCTCACAGCTACCAGCTCCAGGCAGTTAGGGTGCTGATGTTACATCATGCTGCATCCCTTTCGTTTGTGTCATATCTTAGATACTGGTATTTTGACAATTACTATGGTGCAAATCAAGTACTGTATGAAAATCATTTTGGAACAAGAAATAGAGATATCATTTTCTGATCTGTATCTGATTAATTTTGGAGTGCTCAGTAAGCATGCATAACTCATTAGGAAGCAATTGTGATTATGTAAGAATGAAATATTTATTAAAAAAAATTTTTTTTAATGGCTACTAAGGTATTAGGACGTATATACACAGTTTTAGGATTTCGTATAGTCATTGCAATCACCATAGGTGTTTCTTTTAGGCTGGGGCACTGTGAAAGTTATTTTAGTTATGAAGGTACCATGAACTGAGAAAATATGGGGACTTCTGGTTTAGAGAATGCTTTTTATTGCCCAGAATTTTTATATACTTTTTCCTGGTTCAGTAGAGTCATATAAAGTAGAATTCTAGTTGACAGAGTTTTGGTTATTTAAATTTAATGTCAAACTCTTCTGTGTCATTTTACCTTGAATATATTTATTTCAATGTGTTAATTTGTTTAACTTGGTAAAGATGATAAACATTTTATTTGGTTCAGAATCACAGTCCCTCAAAGTCTTTATTAGAGCATTTGTTGTTGTGTAAGCCATTAATGATTTAAGAAGCTACAAAAATGTGTATTAACTTTAAGACATTCTTTAGTGAGTTAATTAAAATGATACATGCTTTTTGTGTAATGATTTATCTGTATCTACATAAAAGCAAAGTATAGTAGATCATGTTGGGTGGAATAAAGGTTAATTGAAGATTCTGCCATTTGCTCTTTAATTAATAGGTTTTATATTAGAGAATTATGATGTCATCTTGAAAGTTGAATTTTCTGACAGCTCTTCAGAAATATAGCTGTTATTATAAGTTGAAGTATACTTTTAAATGAAAAGATACTTTTTTAAAAGCCTTAATTGGTAATTTATTAAATCTTTTTAGAGACTTGATAGCTTTTCGCCCCTTTTCCATATTTCATTTTAAATATTAATTACACATTTTATATTATTCTCCTTCATGCTTGAATATTTTCCTTAGAATCTGAAAAGGTAGATGTAACTTGGAAACTTCTCCATTAGTTTTTTTAATTGTTATGTTTTATCTTTTTTCTTCTCTTTTTTTATTGCAGTGTAGTTGATTTACAATGTTGTGTTAGTTTCAGGTGTACAACAAGGTGATTCACTTACACTTGTGTGTGTATATATGTTTTCCAGATTCTTTGCCCTTATAGGTTATTACAAACTATTGATTAAACTATTGCTATACACTAGGTCCTTGTTGGTAGTAGGTATATGTTAATCCCAAACTCAATTATCCCTCTTCCCTCCTTTCCCTTTGAGAACCAGAAGTTTGTTTTCTATGTCTGTGGGTCTGTTTCTGTTTTTATCCCTTATATGTGAGATCTAAAGGAAAAGATATGAACGAACTTAGACACAAAGCTGAAAGCACATGGCCTCTCCGTTAGTCTTGCTGAAGACAGTGCCATGATGCTTCTGTCTGGCGCTCGGTTTCCTTCCGTGGCATGGCCCGCTCTCCCTTTTCTTGGAGTCTCCATGCCACTGCCCTCCATTCATTCTTACGTTACAGCTCTTGACTTGGCTGAAGCACTTAAACGGAGGGATCATTTTTTTAATTCATTTTTATCTAGCAAAGGCTTAGCCTCCAGTGCACATTCATGTTTGCTAAATGCATGATCAAAGAGCACATTGTCTCCCTTCTTGCCTAACCATATTTTCTCTCTTTAAACTTTCTTCATGCAGTGCCCTAACCATTTCTAATATTCAGGCTGGATCGACTGGAAATTGGGGCTGCCACGTCCAGACCAAGCGTGGGAACAATACGAGAACCGTGGATATTGTGGTCTTAGAAAGCTCTGCGCAGTACTGCCCTCCTGAGAGGGTGGTGAACAATAAAGGAGATTTCAGGTCAGTGACTTGGAGGGTGCTGAAAGGGGCCGATTTGCCCCAGTTCTTTTTATTCTCAAAGCCATAGATGGAAGTAATTGGTCTCCTGTCTTCAGTAAGAATTTGAGAAATGTATTCACATGCATATCCTTACATATCTAAGGACTACTCTTTAAAATGGTGATTTCAGAACCATTTATGCAGACTAAAAGTAAAAACAGGTGCCTGAACTTTATCTCAGATCTATTGATTGATGAGTCTCTGAAGGTTGAGCCAGAAGTGTTTATTTTTATTTTCTACTTTTGTTGTAGTAGTTAAGAACCACTACTTTAGGAAACGTTTTGGAAATTCCACTCAGATAGTGTGAAATTCAGACAGGTTAACAGCATTTCCTGTTTCTAAGGGGCTGTTTTTGGATGGCCTTTGGAAGGTTTTGTTGTGTTAATTCAGTTTTAACTGCAGACAGTTGGTAGACTTGTACTTAGCAGAAACACACACCCAATTTCCCTCCTCTGTATGGTTCTTCTAGCAATTAAACAAGGGGACTTTGAGAAATGAAAGCTGTTAGGTGGCCTGAAAGCTGGGAAGCCACTGGTGCTGGACTATGTTAGGATAAGCAGATTGAGTTAAATGCTGTGTTTTTGTTTTTGTGTTTTTAATAGAAAGTTTAGAATTTGTGAGTGTTAACAATTTTTACTTTAGACTCTCCTTACTTTCAAAGTTGCTTTAAAACATTATGTTTAAACTTATTATTTATCTAAAATGCTTTATGTTCAGAATTTTAATAATCAGTTTATAGTTTATATAAATGAGAAATATGTAGCTCTTTAAAGCAGCATAGAGATATTTGAATACACAGTTTACATTGTCTATGGTTGGTATCATTGCTGCCTTGTGGCTATAAGTCTGATTTTTAAGGACAAGAAAAAGAACTCTTTGTTGTTATTCTTTCAAGTCCAAGGTGAAGAAGCAATAACAACTTTAGCTCAGCTAGTTCTTCATAGATTTTTTTTTTAATTGCCTTTTGATATTCCTTTCTCCTCCCCCGTTTAAAATTTTTCTGGATATGAGTGTGTGGAAATCATAATTTATTGTTGCCAACAGGTAAGTCTTTTATGTGGATTAACTGTTAACTTGTAATATTTATACAATATACGTTGAAGTGAAATAGATACCATTTGTTAATTTTGTTACATTCAATGCCTTTATTAAATAATCATAGTATATTTTCTATTTATGCTATATTATCTGTCTTTACTCTTAGTTTTGGAGTGTTTTCATTTTTAAAAATAGAAGAAGGATTTGTTTAACTGATTAATGAATTATTTATCTTTTGACACCCCTTAAGATATAATACAGTTAGAACTTCCACTGCATTAATAAGATTTAGTTTAGCATTGCTTAATCTATTTATAAAGTTTTTGATAATGCATTACATTTTGGTGTGGCTGATATTATAATTTAGAAGTTCGTATGTTGTAAGTCATCTGTAGCTTTTATTAAATACATTATTTTCATTCCCAGTGTTGGAGAAATAGAGCTCAAATAACAAAGATTTCTCCCAGTCCAGTTAGTGCTGATTTCACGCCAGCAGGTTGGTGTAGTCACTTGCACAGTACCTATGCAATTTATCTGGGCTGCAGTCAGATAAATTCAGTTGTATATGTTATTGGATGTTTTTAAGACCACCCCCAAGTGCAAAAGTCTGTTGAAAGGACTCACAGGACTCAGCATGCGGCTGTGGTCACAGCTCAGATGTAATGATGTAGTAATATACCTAGCCGGATAATAAGGGAAAAGACACAGATGGATTCTGGGGCCATCAGTGTGGAAGTTCTTGATTATCTCTGCCTCCCAGGAGGTTCATGCAGAGCTTACCCCTCCTCCAGCCTTGAAAAGGCAGCAGCCTCTGTATTGTGTTTTTGCCCAGGGAAGCCCATTGGAGTCTCAGCATCCAAAACTCCTGTTGGGAAATGTTCCTAAAGGCAACCTCTGTCTATCTCATTCCAAAATTTCAGACCCCCAGGATGAAAGCAGGTGCTCAGCGCACACCATATGGCTTCCCCAGACTGTCTAGGTAAAGTGAATCACTCTTACCAGTTAACTGTGAACACAAAAAGCCCCAAATTCCTGGGTGCCACCGAAGGGTCAGCATTGCAGGCAGGCCTCTTTAAGGATGGCAGTCCTTTCTACAAGTATACTAACTCTCTTTCTGTGAAAGGCCAAGTTCTGTTCATATTGGAAAAGATTCTGACCTTATATACCTAATGGTTATATAAGCCAATGATACAGTAACAGTAATTAAAGAAACAAGACCATTTGGTGCACCATTTTTCTTTTCTGCTTGATAAGGTACAATTTCCGTGTTTATATTTGGAATATTTTAGGAAAATATTCTGTTACGGCATTAAAAAATTTATTCAGCGGATAGCTTACAATGGTTTTAGTTCATCTTAACATTTTTTGTTTTTGTCTTTTTTATTAGGGGAGTTTTGTTTCTACTTGATTTTCCTCTGAGTCTGCGTGACATGTCCTGATCCTTAATTTCCCCCTGCTGTTACTTGTCTCAGTGTAGGTTCTCTGTGTCTTCGTCTCTCTAGGTGGCCCAGAACGCTGGCGGGCATCACCGCGTACCTGCAGTGTACTCGGAACGCCCACGGCAGTGGGATCTACCCTGGGAACGCCCAGGACGAGAGAAAGGCCTGGCGCAGATGTGATCGAGGGGGCTTTTGGGCGGATGATGATTACTCCCGCTGCCAGTATGCGAATGATGTCACTAGAGTTCTCTATATGTTTAATCAGGTAACTGGAAAGTCTTCAGGTCTGCTGAGGTCGCTAATAAGACGTGGTGCTCACACCAAATACATACTTCTTCTTTTTTTTTTTTACTACTAGTGAAGCGTAAGGATTTGGTGTCTGTACTTCCCTGGACTGTGCCTTCGGGATCAGACCTGCTCTTCTTAACCAGTATCCCAGGCCCTCTCTGGCATTCCTCTTCCTTGCCAGGCAGCCTGGCTTTATGCCGTTACTTGACTGACTTGTCATCTGTATCCCCAAACAGAATCCCAACCATTCTTCAAGAGCCCCTGGGAGGCCCCCTCTTCAGTTCCTTTTATAATCTCTTTGTCACAAGAGATCCCTGTTATGCTCTCCTTTTAGCATGCCTTGTCTCATCTCTGCTTCTCTTTTTTTAAACCTTAGCCGATTATAAGCACCTGGCGGGTGGTTTCTTTTACACATTTTCTTTCGCGTCTTTGTGCCTGATCCACACTTTTTGTAATGACTGGTGCTGGGTTGTGTTTAAGTCAATAATAAACAAATGTAGAACATCACAGGCCGTGCATGGCAGTACAGATAAGTACTAAATAAGTGGTTCGTACTCCCAAGTGGCAGGAGTTCCAGGGGAGATACTGATCCCTCCTGCCTGGAATACTTGAAAAAGGTGTTACTAGGCAATTGGAATTGAGTATATATAGGATTTAGATAGATAGAGATGAAGAGATGGTGCAGGCCGCGTCCGTGATTTTTCTTTTTCTTTTTAAACTTTTGTTTATTTTTATCTTTTGGCTGTGCTGTAGCATGTGAGATCTTAGTTGCCTGACCAGGGATCAAACCCACATCCCCTGCACTAGAAGCACAGTCTTAACCACTGGACCACCAGGGAAGTCTCTCCCTCATGTGTTTTTTATGTATTGTTTTATTTCATTCTAAGTTAAAAAAAGAAAATTCCTTCAGTTAGTTTCCAATAAAATTTGTCTTCTCAGTTTTGGAAAAAGCATTTTAGGAAGGTCATAGTGAATCGGTGATAAAGAGTTTTGAAATTGCCATGTTTTGAAATGCAAAGGTAAAATGCAATGTGGGAGACCTGGGTTCGATCCCTGGTTGTGAAGATCCCCTGGAAAAGGGAAAGGCTACCCACTCCAGTATTCTGGCCTGGAGAATTCCATGGACTATACAGTCCATGGTGTCACAAAGAGTCGGACACAACTGAGCGACTTTCACTTCACTTGCTAAGTACTTCTTTTTGCCTTTTTCATACAGATGCCCCTCAATCTTACCAACGCTGTGGCTACAGCCCGACAATTATTAGCTTACACTGTGGAAGCAGCCAACTTTTCGGACAAGATGGATGTTATATTTGTGGCTGAAATGATAGAGAAATTTGGAAGATTTACCAAAGAGGAAAAATCAAAAGAGGTATTTTCTGGTTCAGATTTGTAGCAGATAATATGTCAGCAAATGGTCATGTGATAGAGCTGAGTCTATTTTTAAAGCTTATTTATGTTTGCTGTATTTGAACTAAGCATACCTTTTCATTCCCAAAATTGTCATTGAGAAACCTATGCTCCATCTGTCATGTGGACTTGTTGGGAGAAGTAGAGGTGGATTGTTATTTCTTGGAAATAAGGTACCAGGGTAGGGCAGAACCAGCCTGTGAGAAAGCAGCTTTTTCTGCATCCATGGTATGTGTGAGTCGGGCTGCATCTCTCAGGCTGCCTGGGATTTCCCTTCTCCCCACTGGTGTGTTTTCATCCTTCTTTGTTTTTTTTAAAATCACCACTTAAATTTACTGGTTGAAGAAATCTTTGTATGCTTAACAATTTACAATAAGTAGAGTCTTTTTTATTCTTTTATTTATTTTTTAAATTTAATTTTAAATTAGAGGAAATGTAAGACTATTTTAGCACCTTTAAAACAAAATTCCAAATGATTAAGATACACGAGGCATGAAAATTTAGTGACTTTGAAAAGGGGCCATGTTAAAGCTATGAATTCCTGTCCACATGATACCCTTTAGGCGAAGACATTTGACAACTATTGTTTTCAGAATGAGTGAGCAGCAAATAATGTTTTGAATAAGTTTTTAGCTGCAGATTAACATATTCTTAAACTTTATTTCCAGCCAGGTGAGAGCTTTGTATAAACTGTTTCTCTTGTGATGGAGTCACATAAAAATGAATTTTAGAGCTAGAATAAACTTAGATTAGGTCATACACTGAAGCCTAAAGAAAACTAAATAATTTACCTAAGGTTTTAGAGCTAAATTATGCAGGGCTGAAAACAACCCAAGAACTGTAGCTGTCTAATCCAGCAGTTTTCTACTGTATCACATTTACTTTCTAGAAGAGCTTTGCTGTGTCATGGTATTCCAAAAGTACTGTGGGGAAAACACTGGACTAAACAAAGTCTTAATATATTTCTTTATGTAGGGCATCTCAGATTCATCAATGTGCTAAAAGATGATATTGGTTTGGCCAAAAAGTTCATTCAGCTTTTTATGCACAGTGGTATGGAAAAACCCAAACGAACTTTTTGGCCAACCCAATAATATCCCTTGTTTCTCTACATAATTAAACCAAGGGAATTTTTCACATGTGGCATCTATTAATATCTGGCATTTTGGTGATAAGTTTTGAAATTGCGGCTCTAATACATTAGGTACTTTACTTGATGTAGTGTAGCTGATAAAGAAAATAGTGACATGTTTATAAATGGGATTCAGGACACCAGACCACTTAATGATGACATGGCATTTCACTGTTGTTATCTGAACTTCAGACCTTAATTTCCTAACAAATTGTTCCCTTGCTTGATTGTGTCCTTGGGCCATAGCCCGCTTCCCATGATGAATTTTTCTGGTGCTGGGAGGAGCCGTGTGAATCCTGGCCCTGTGGTAATCCTGCTTTCCCTTGTTGAGTATAATCACGGGTTGCTGCCCACATGATTAGAAGTTATTCATGGAGGCGGATGTTTCAGGTCACTAGAGTAATTGGGATGGCACTTGGAATTTGGACATAGGGAAAGGTCCTGCCATCCCGTGGTAGACTGAAGTTTATCCCCTTGCCGCCCTGTTCTGCTGTGAAGGACTTCCGTACACCTCCCAGCTCCGGAGCAGCAGTGTGATGCCCTGCGGTGTACATTTCATTGTGTTGCTGCTGTGAGGGAAGAATGGTCTGGATCTTTGTTGCTTTGTCATATTCTCAGGGGGAAGCATCTTGTTGAGGATTGGAAGTGGACCTGGTTTGTGAGTTACTAATCATGGACCCTTTATTTTTAAAATGAGACATGATGCTTGCTCTGTTTAACTTGCAGAGTGTACGCAAGTGAGAAAATATAGGTGAAACTTTTTATCATTGCAAAGCTAGGATATACTTTTTATAGGGTTAGAAAATTAGCATTCTTTTTTGTGCGTGTGAGGAATTTTCATTTGTTTACTTATTTTAATTGAAGTTGAGTTGATGTGCAGTACTGTATGTTACAGATGAACAGCATGCAGGTGCAGTTCAGTCGCTCAGTCGTGTCCGACTCTTTGCAGCCCCACGGACTGCAGCACGCCAGGCTTCCCTGTCCATCACCAGCTCCTGGAGCTTGCTGACCCATGTCCATCAAGTCAGTTATGCCGTCCAAACATCTCATTCTCTGTCGTCGCCTTCTCTTGCCTTCAGTCTTTCCCAGCATCAGGGTCTTTTCCAATGAGTCAGTTCTTCGCATCAGGTGGCCACCATATTGGAGCTTCAACTTCAACATCAATCCTTCCAATGAATATTCAGTACCGATTTCCTTTAGGATTGACTGGTTTGATCTTGCAGTTCAAGGGACTCAAAGTCCTCTCCAACACCACAGTTCAAAAGCATCAATTCTTTGGCACTAAGTTTTCTTTATGGTCCCACTCTCACATCCATACATGACTACTGGAAAAACCATAGCTTTGACTGTACGGACATTTGTTGTATATATTACAACACAGCCATTCACAATTTCTTTAAAAAAAAAAAAAGACATTTATTTTTATTTATTTGGCTGCATAGAGTCTTAGCTGTGGCCTGTGGGATCTAGTTCCCTGACCAGGGATCAAACCCAGCCCCCCTGTATCAGGAACGCAGAGTCTTAGCCACTGGACCACCAGGGAATTCCCACAATTTCTTTTTTTTTAATTTATTTATTTTAATTGGAGGATAATTACTTTACAATATGGTGATGGTTTTTGCCATATATCAACATAAATCAGCCATAGGCTTACATGTGTTCCCTATGAAAAGTAACATTCTTACGGTCTCAGAAGCTGAGAGAGAAGTCCTTTAAAAAAAATCACCAGACTGCTTTAGTTACTTATCTAAAAACTTAATTTGAAGGAGATTGTTGTCACTTTCACTGGCTGACATAGAAGGTGAAATTTTAACTATTTTTGTAAACAAATGATGGCAACCTATTAAGTATAAATAGAACAGAAAATTATTCAGGATTGAACAATTGAGATATAAATGTAATATTACCTTTGATGCAGTGACAGACATTTGATTCTTTGGAAGCTTAAAATTGCAGGCCAAAGCTTTCCCTGTTTATTGCTATGTTAAGAAGAAGTCATGAGGCTTAAGGGCTCCATTTTAAGTTAATTAACACTGCATAAAATTATGCTAAGGTATCTTAAAATGTGTATAGCATAATTGGACAATTAAATTGATTTTTGTATTATATCTAAAAAGTTGTGCTGTGGAGTTTTTCATAAACAACCTGTGATTGAGTCTAGCCAACACAAGCTGGTATTCTTGTTGTCTTAGCATGGGTGCTGAAAACTATCAAACTGCCAGATCTAAATGAGGTATTTACTGGGTGTTTTAAAAAGAGCTGAAGGTTATCTGTCAGAGTGTGTTCCATATTTACTGTAGTGATTTCTCTAATGAAAACAAACATATATCCATTTTAAAAGATGAGAACATTTATGAAGATTAGAGTTAGTTATGTGTTATAGTTTTCTTACTGTGCTCCAGTTTTAAATATGTAAGGCATGCACCTCAGATTTTTATATACAGAATTTTTAAAATTTAAAGTTCTTTCATTTTTTCATTTTAAGGTATAATCACATCTGTACTGGTGAGTTTCTTTTTTATTTTCAATATTTTTAATTTTTTTTCCTTGATCTTACTTGTTAGACTTCCTGATATTGTTAACATTTTCAGAGACCCAGCCTCTGGCTTTTTGATCCTTCTGAGAACATGGTTTCTCAAACTTGCATGGGGCCCATGATTGGTACCAGGTACCAGGTGCGGGTAGCCTGAGGCTTCACATTTCCACTAAATTCCAGGTGATACTGGGCAAAGTCTTCGGCACAGGCTTTGAGCACCACTGTGAAGTGAAGTGAAGTGAAGTGAAGTGAAAGTTGCTCAGTCGTGTCCAACTCTTTGCAACCCCATGGACTGTAGTCCATGGAATTCTCCAGGCCAGAATACTGGAGTGGGTAGCCTTTCCCTTCTCCAGGGGATCTTCCCAACCCAGGGATTGAACCCAGGTCTCCCACATTGAGGACCGCTGTAGTATATTTCTTTTCTATCCTTACCTCTTTTTAAAAAAAATGTTCTGTTTGGGTTTAACTTTTTAAGAACTTTTCAGACACTCCTTTTAAATTAGAAAATTCCTAACGTGTAGGAGAAGGAATATTATTATTAACACGTTTGTTTTACCTTTCACTGAGTTTCAACAATTCTCAGTATTTACCAGTCTTGCTTCATCTCTCCTGTCCACTCATTTTATGTTTTCTGTCCCTCCTTCCTTCTCTCTTCCCCTCTCTACACGTCTCTGTCTCTGTCTTATTCTGTGTTTTTCTGTCTTTCAATGCTGGAACATTTAAGAGCACATTTTAGGTGTCATATTTCATCCATAATTTTTTTTTAAATTGCAAGCAACTTTAAAATAGAAATAAATAAATAAATAGAAATAAATAACCATGATATGGTTATTATATCACCCAAATGAACTCTAAGTCCTTAATATTATAAAATATCTAATCTGTGTTCAGTTTTCCTTGATTATTTTTTAAAATGTGGACCTTGTGTCTGGTTTCCTTATGAAATTCATTCATGTAATTTTCTAGTTGGTTTTGTGGGGTTTTCTGGACAGACGGTTTTGACTGTAGATGGTAGGGAACAGTTGGCTGGTCTGTTCCCGTATAAAATACATCCTGTTTTTCTGGTTATACATCGGTGGGGGCCCCCAGAACTGTGCTGATTCGTGTTGGTGACGAGTGGCCTTCATGAGAATGGTATGATGTATCATTACTGAGTGGGATTCTTATGTGCTTCTGCTGGGTGCTGGGGGTCTGTGTCAGGGTTAGGGGGAGTAGTTCTCAGCTTGAGGTTTCTCCGACTACAGAACTCTCTTCTCAGTCCTGTGTGAAGGTCGACTTGTGTTGACAGATTGAC